ATAATCTGAGTGTAAGGAAGCAGAAATCAAATGAATTGAAATTTTCATTTTTACTACACTGTAACTGATTTTTGTCATTTGAACAGTATTATACTGTAATATGTACAGTAAGATACTGTAAAATGTGTATACAGTATTTTACTGTAAACCGCAAAGGATTATGGGAAAATATACGGTCACTACTGTATTTCCTCACTACTGTAAATCAATTTACAGTAGTGAACTTGCCTCGAAAAACTGACCAATGGCAAGGGAGGTCTTTTTTGACTGTTTGGTGGAAGTGGCCATAAAAGGACAAAAGAGAAATGCACCATTAACTCGACGAAAGGTTAGTATATTATTTCTGTTTTATGCAAAACTGAGATATTTTAAGATGTGTTTACTTGTTAACAGCAAACTAACATTATTCATCCTGTCATTTTTCATGTCGGGAGTTGGAGTTGGAAAGCATTTTTATCAAGATAAATGTTAAATGTAATGCTTCACAAAGCCTTAGATAGATGTGTTATAGTGTTACATGTTCTATTTTCATTTAATCTGAATAGTTTCTTATACAGTTATGTAGCAGTCATACTCCCTATAGCAGGAATAATAATTATCACACAAAATATAAATCATTATGAATCATTACAAATCCACTCCATAAAAGAGGCGTATACAAAAAGGACTGAAGGATGAATTAGAATAGTAGTTTTGTGATTACAGCAGTGCCTCATCTCAAGGTCAATACACAAAGGCACTTGTACATGCCAACAAGAGAATAAATAAATACATATAATAATGGCTTAGCCTTTACATGGAGTTTTTCCACAACAAACATAACATTAAATCCTTTGATAATATGCTCTGTCAATACTTTTTGCAGAAAGTCATAGGCTAAGAGTTTACACCATGTTATGCAAATATACACGCACGTTTGAACGCTGTCTGCATCAGTAGTAACTGTAATGGATAGATTTTTGTTGTTAGTTTCTGTCCTTTTTTTAACAAAGCTTGATTGTATTAGCTTGTAGAATTTAGCTTGTCAAGTGAAATGGAGGTAGCGAACACTTAAGCGTTCGTGCTGAGACTGATAGATCACAGACCTTTGTGAACAATACATTAAGTTGTCTGTGTATTATAGTTCAGTATCTGAGGTAAAACGTTAAAATATGATATGAGCGCAAGGCAGCAGATGTGAGGTCACTGAACTAGCGTTATATTTGAGTCTCTTGAGAGCCATTTCAGATTAAAGCTAGAGGTCTCCTCCATTAATAATGCAAGCATGAAAGCTGCCTCTCTGATTTGTTACCACTTTTAACACTAAGCCACTGATAGAAAAAAACTATGCAGATCAAGATGATTCTATTTCTTTGAACAAGCTTATTTTATTGTACTTTCTCTCTCTCTCTCTCTCTCTTTCATCGGTGATTATTTGATTTAGTTTTTTATTGACGCTAAAAATGCAAAAACAACAGATGTAGGTGTTAATTAGGTCAGAACCTCAGGTTGTTCATCAAATAACAGTTTAGCTGTTTTATTCCATCTACATATATTATATTATTAGTGCATATGTTGTGCAAAAATCTATTCACTCTGTTATCATATAAACCATTTCATACTATTTTGAAGTATTTTTCCTACTTTTGCCACCACAGTCTATACTTTAAATGTGCACGACAAATATAAGAGTTAAATGCAAATGTCCATTGTATTATCTTAAAGCCGATACAACAATACACAAACAAATCACAAAAGAAAAATCGAATTATTAGCAAAGCAACATTTTGAACCCAAACAGAAGTTGTGTATTTTTCACAATTTAGTCAAAACCAACATTTTCAATCACTTTCAAAGTTTATTTATAATTCACATTCATTTGAAACTTATTTACGCAACAATATTCAGTCATATAGAGGAATATGCCGATCTTAATTAACATAATTGTCCTCTAAATTAATTAAAGAAATAGTCGCGGGTTGTGGAGTATCAGGATTCTATGTATCTTGACTCCTCATTGTAACACATTTACCCCGGAGGAAACTACATGCTTTGACACGTGCAACACCAGTCTTATAATTGAAATAAATAGCCTACTTAAACTTGATTTCGGATATCTTGATATCGGTGGATGTTTTATTCACGCAAGTGACTTGTTGACCAGAAATGTATTCTTTGTATAGCAACAGCTAGGGGCCATAGTTTGGCTCGTGAAGTTAAGATTATATATATACACATTTGTTTGTGTTTTGTATCACATTTCAAGTTGTGCGTTATTGAATGTGATGCCAATAAACAATATTACCACTCCGAACCCGTGTGCCTATAGGCTATACCGCAAAGCAGACATACAACTAATACTGGATACTTTGTTTCATAGTCGGTTCTGTGAAATAATGGGTCAGGACCTCAGCTCTTAGCCCAGGCTCTCTTTCCCCTCGCTGACCCTTGATCCATCCAAGCACTCCACTGGACACATGTTTGCCCATTCACTCTGAGGCTTATATTTACGCTCTGCTTTAAATGAGGATAGTTGTTTAAGAAACGCAACTAATTGCAAGGTATAAACCAAACGTGAATTAAAATAAACTGCAGATTAAAGATTCAATTGCATTTAAAAAAAATAACGTTCAAAGGAATACTACACGCCATGCCTTTTATTTTGATGGTAAGCCAATTACCAACAGCTCTTGTCATGCATTAAAGAAGAAGGGCCATAGGTGACAGCTAACTCGCAGCTAAGTCAAACACAAACAAAACTGCACAAGCATGTCTTAGGAATACCTGCAAGTCACACGTAGACACATAAACTCGCTTACAAACGCGTGATTAGTCAAAGCATATTGAAATAAATCTAAGATCGGTAATATTTGATTTTCCGCACATTCACCGATTAATGCAGCTGAAAGGTTAATCAATATATTGCATTGAAACAAAAAGACATGCACCAGAATAATTTATGATATGATCTTAAAGTAATACGTATTGAATTTTTTGTTATTTTTCAGTTTCAGCTTTAGTAACTAGTGTAACTCATTCATCAGCCACTGTTAGTCTCTTCAATATTTGTTTAGATTATTTTATTACCTTCATTTTTTTTTCCGGGACTAACATTACAACTACTAACACGCAGACACACATATACGCAGACACTGTTTTTATGAAACATATTTGCAGAGAAATTCGGCGAGTTCCTAAACTTACATGGATATTAAAACACAACAATTAATCTAAATTAAATACGGCAAAACAAAAAAAAAGCAAATAGATGTGATTCATTTCCCAGGGCAACCTGTTTCAGTACCTGAGCAAATGTTGTCCAGTATATCCCAGTCCCATTCTGATGATAGATTTTTGTCATGTGTTCCTTCCCCACTGAAGTATAGCCCACAAACAAAACTTTTTAGTTTTTCTTGAGTAACTTGGTATACTTGAAATGCTAAGCGATCGCCCATCCAGTGGTTTCTCCAGCATCAGAGTGAGGCGGTTGCTTGGCCCTCGGTCATGCTCTCTGCCTTAATATTCCACAAGGTTGAGTGGCCCTCATTTACCTAATGGATCAGGCGCACAAAACCTTAGACTAGTTTCTCGCTCTGTGAGTCATAAGCCAAACTATATGTGATGCTTCGAACTGGCTGGTCTCAGAATGAACCCAAATTAAACACATCGACAATTAAACACTTAAATGTGATTTGCTGAACGTTTAGTCAGAAGAGAAGGCTAGATGTTAGTGCTTGTTTTGCGTTGTAAATTTACTAAAATAGTAGAAATGTGCAGAGCTACTAAAGCCAAAAGTACTTAACGAAATGTCACCTTACACAGTCTACTTGCACAGTATATCCAAATGTGTGAGACCAGCATCCACCCACGTGGTCAAATTAGACAGAGGTGTGTTTAACATGACTGAAGGATACAGGCATGTGAATGTTTCTTGTTCCTAAACTTGAAGCAATAAAACATCATAAGCGTACAAGCTCGGCTTATCTTTGTTTCCTTGCGTACTTAAAATGTAGAGCCTCGCTTTTACATTTATATGAAGTGCCAAAATTAGGCCACGCAATATGTGCTCATTATTTTGTTTAAGAATGCAGAACACGTGAACTGTTCGTGAGGTTACTGTCCTGGAAAGAGTAATAGCAATTTGAAACAGGTCGGGTGAATTACGTTAAATGAGCGTTTTATTATCTTTACACTGTGGATCTTGATTATAACGATTGGTGCTGAGAAAATACCGCACTTTTTAAATGTTCAATGTTAATTTTTACAATATATGCATTCTTCATAAGCTTATATTATTAAGATACGTTTTCCAGCGTTCCAGTTTTATATAGCGATTACAAACTCTTCGTTTAATGAAAAACTTATTTTAAAAAGTAGTTGTACTTCCAATGTCGATTTTATGTGGTCGTTTTTTTTTTTTTTACTATGATCGCATTTGGGAGAGACCCTTAGCGCTGCTTAAGACGCATAAATTAGGTCATAGACTGGAGGGGGTCTTCATTGTGCCACTCTGACAGTGCGCACTGGCGCTTATGACTCTCGGAGTGCTCTCAAAGTTGGAAAAAGTACGGAATTCCCTATTGACGCAGATAACAGCGCCTAAAAAAAGCTGAAAAGTAGACTTCAGACAGACTGACAAACGTCCGCTCAATTCGAGATATGATAGAGCTTTTGGGGACCATGTCAGACTCGTGAATTGTACGGCAAAAAGGAGAAATGTGACCACTGAAAATGTTCAGTCGGCATCATGATAAATGTAATGTGAAACTAGCAACATTTTTTTTCTCAATTATCTTGCTGAGATGTCAATGACTATTGTTTGCTGGTCCAGGGAGTCGCTCCGCCCCTCATGTTTGTCGTAAATCTGGCGCCTGGCTACAATAAACCTGAGATAAGAGTGGCCAGGGCTCGCCTCCTTCTCCAAGGCGATCAATCGGATCTCAGGCATACTACAAGCGCTCTCTTACGTCGACGTCCACGAGAACAGAGCTGATACAACAACACGGCTGCGCTCCACCACCAAATATCTATCTGCTTTTACTGAACCATGTCGCTGAGCCCAAAGCACACGACACCTTTCTCAGTGACAGATATTTTGAGCCCAATTGAGGAGACTTACAAGAAGTTTAGTGGCATGGAGAGCACTGGAAACCTCACATCTCCATTGGGAGCTTACCGGCAACCTCAGGTGTCCCAGACTGGCATGCAGCAACACTCTATGGGCCACAACGCCACCACCTACCATATGCCACACTCCGTCTCCCAGTTCTCGCACAGTGCAATGGGGGGCTACTGCAATGGCAGCATTGCCAACATGGGGGACCTACCCTCTTACCAAGAAACTATGAGAAACAGCGCAGCAGCAACAGGGTGGTACGGCGCCAATCCTGACCCTAGATACTCAACAAGTAAGTTCTCTTGCATTATTCTGATTTAGCTCTCGACGTGTCGCTCGTTGCTTTTATGTGCTTAGCTCCAGCGAGTTTACGTTAGTTTTACGCATCAGTATCATTGCTCATACTTTGCCTTCTTAGCATTGTCGCTGCTTTTGTTAGCTACTGCTAATTTTCCCATCGTGTAGATTCATGCTTAAGTTAATTATAACTGAAACATTTATATTCGTTGATTTGTGCACGCGTAAATGCTCAATTGAGATGACCATTTCAAGACTGTTGCTGCACAAATTATTACCAACTTAGCCCAACACTGCTACTAATTGAATGGCCGTACATCTGTATGCATATTTTGAAGTTTCTAGATTCATGGGACCTTCCACAGGTATGAACATGGCAGGAATGGGCACGCTGACAGGCATGGCCGACACCACCAAATCCATCCCACCTTTCCACGCAGCGCCAAGGAGGAAACGACGGGTGCTCTTCTCTCAAGCACAAGTCTACGAGCTGGAAAGGAGATTTAAGCAACAGAAATACCTCTCAGCGCCCGAGAGGGAACACCTGGCTAGTATGATACATCTAACCCCGACGCAGGTCAAGATCTGGTTTCAGAATCATCGCTACAAGATGAAACGGCAGGCCAAGGACAAAGCAGCGCAGCAGCTTCAACAGGAGGGCAACCTGTGTCAACAGCAGCAGTCGCCAAGGAGAGTGGCTGTCCCTGTCTTAGTGAAGGATGGCAAGCCTTGTCAAAACGGTTCCAACACACCGACGCCACACCAACAGCAGATGCAGCAGCAACAGAACGGTTCCGGGGTCGTGCTTCCGACCTCCAGTAACTCTATGAACCAACACCAAACCCAGCAGGTCAACGCACTGGTCCAGGCCCAAGACCTGGAGGAAATGTCCCCTAGTCCCCCGTCACTCCACTCGCAGATGAACAACATGGGCCAGATAGACACTACTGTAGATTACACAAATAACATGGTCACGTCAAATCTGCTTTATGGCAGAACGTGGTAGGACCGGGCATATTTTCTTTCCTCCGTTTTTCCTCAAACTTTAGCGTCCTCTGAATTAAGAACTGCGCGCGAGGCCAAAAGCAGACGGGGCTTCGCACGCCCGGCATCCGTGTGGCGGTTGATCGGATCAAAGGAGCCAGTTTTTGAGGGAAATGTACCACTTTTTAACAGTTTTTGTGGTCACAGTTTTCTACAATGACCCTGCTACTCATAATGGACAAAATAACAATTTCTAGCCTCACGCTCTATGTTTGGGACCTCCTCTTGTTGTTCTAGTAGAAGGTTGTCTGTTGTTAAACTAAATTGCTGCTCCACATCTATGGCAATGCCAGGACACGGGAAGCAATGTTTCATATTCCAGGTATGAACTTCTAGCAAGAACTGGAAAAGTTCCCAGATCTCAGTAAAAATGCCTGAACGTGCGACTGAAGCGACTATTGTAAAAACTAATGTATTCATTTAGAGAAATGAAAAGTAGGGACTGTATATTTGGCTAACACTTAAGTTTCTGTTTACTTGTAATATTAATGTCTGAGTATTTTCGCTGGTCATTTATTCTATTCTTTTTTTTTTTGGGGTAAATTAAAACTAAGACACAAAGACGATGGCTGCTGTATATGTTTTAAACCAATTGAACGTTAACAATAAATCAATTAAACCGCACGCCATTGTTGGGGAATTAATGTGTGTAGAGTAATTTCTGTGAAGAGCGTTTTCATTCAAATCATATCTGAAAGTACATTTAATATTAAAAAGTCGATGGAATGAAACTTTTCACTGATTCTGAGAGGAAGAACCCTATATTTAGATACCAACAGTTTTTAATGTCTGCCCTTTACTTCTAAATTTGCGTCCATTGTAAATTTTTTACTATTTACTAATTAGTTACCTCTCCTAACTTTAAATATTTCTGAAGCCTACGTTACACAAAAGGTGGTATTAATAATAAGAATAATGTGCCACCAATTTATAATTTTAGGTTCTGTCAATTTATATTACGCAGAAGAGAGAACAATATTTTTTTGTCATCTTTTCGTTCATTTTATTTAACGTGTCTAACATTTCAGTGGCTTTTCTGTTCGTTCATATCTAAAGAATACATATGTATAGTTACATCTCATGTATTTAAAACACGAAAATAAAACTGCATACATGTTTAGAATTCTACATTATCCATGTTGTTGAATGCTATTTGAATATACTTAGTAATTTAATTTTGTAATAAGTCCCAAAATAATTTTTAATTCGTTTTTGCATAATTACATTTTCAGTGCCGTGGACTTCAATGATAGATTGTAGATTGGCAATAAAAGTTAATGCGAATATAGTCCGAAATTGTTTAACATGATGTACCTTGTAAGAATAATTTTGCGCTGCAAGCGAGTTAAGCAGACTATAGCTATTTAATTGTAAATATAAAAAGCAGAATGCGAGTTTAAAAACGCTGACCCGCATGCAGAAGCCTAATGAATTATGCGTACCATTACCTGGAATACATGAAATGATCCAACACGTCTCAGAACTATCGGACAATCATTAAGGCACATCACATAACAGAACAAATACAATAAGAATACATGAAAATAGGAAACCGGTGATTGGAACCTTTTTTTTTTTTCCTGAAAGAGCTATGAGTGTTCTGAAGTTATGTAAAGTGGTTCAGTGACAAGCCCTGAAATTTGAAACAAGACAGTTTTCACTTTTTTAAAATGTTATTTTTTATGGAGTTATTTGCCATGCTTAATCAAAAACGATCCAAAGGAACACAAAAAAAAGCCAGTCGACATGATTCATATTCACATCATTTCAAACGACACAGACTGAATGTAATGTGAATGATGCTCTGTTTGAATGAATATCTATTGTCCAAATGGCGCAAGAGGGTAGAGAAAACTTTTCAAAGTTACAGTAACCTCCACCAACCCAACTGCAGTTTTTTTATTTGTATTTTTTTTATAGACTCCAAAACGCACACAACTTTAAGGTTAAGGAAGAATGTATAAATGATTTATTATGTATATCTGCCATGATAGGTTTCAACAAATAACTAGTTGTGGAGATGAAAAAAGCTATATATGAAATGCAAATGATAATAATAATAATAAATACATTTAATAAATACACAATGCAAATTTTGTTGCATTTCACTACATGAGAGAGGGAAAGCACATTAGAGGTAGAAATAGGATAATAGGACATAGGATAATAGGTACAATGTTATAATATACTGACAATGGGGGGAAGATATGCTGAACCAATTCATGTATCAATGCATCAGTTAATTCAGATATGATGCAGATAACTATTGCAACCACTTGTATCAACATTTTGCTTTAGTTATTTTTTAGTGGAGGGGTGCAAGCATATCTTGTTTTTTTTTAAATATAGTTAGTAAAAGCTTAATGACAATTGATAAATATTCTTTCCAATATCTATTCAATGTCAGGAAAAACACAACATAGAGATTCAAGAGATTTTAGTATTGCTTTTCTCAATCCTGTCATAGCTTTCCTGGAGCTCTATTCTTCCCCACTAATTGCAGGATCTTAACAAATTCTTACCACTGAGTAATTTGAATCCAGCCGGAGGACCTTGTCTGTATTTCCCCTGGCCATTATTCTACTTAATATGTCAGAACGACTGATCGCAGAGAAACCTTTTCAAGTTCTATTGATGTGTCTTTCAATTGACCATGGTGACCTAGCAACCTGGACAGCACTAATTGGCATAGGCAGCCTGACGTCAGTATTACAGTTGATGTGGGAACAAATGTGACACTGCTGGAATCGTTTACAGAAGTATATTAACACATTTAGTCTGTTTATTTTTAATAGACATATGGTAAAACTCGTTCTCTCTATATGTATTAAACTAAAGCTACATATAGTTTTATTACACATGCATATTTTCAAAATCTGAATTTTCTAAAAATATCATCATACAGACACTTTTGTGACTGAGGTTTTTACGAACCAGAGAAGCACTCTGACATACTTCAGAAATGGTATTTGAATGTGTGTGATGCCCTACCCCCCACTCTGACACACACACACACACTTCTGTCTCTGTTGCGTGTTTCCAAATAAAAGTAGACACTCATGCGGTGCTTTGTGAATATTTACTTCAGTGCATATTCAAAAGACAATGGAATAAATCTCTGAATTACCAACTGAGAATTTTATATTCACATCTCAGGTGGTGAAATGCATTCTTTGGATAGAGGCAGAACACTCTCCTCTGTTTGAGAGCTAAACCTCACTTCACATTTCTCATTGTGAGTGTTTTTAAAAAAGGAGGTATTTATCTGGTATATCTAGGTAGTGCAGGGTTGTGTAGTCTTGGTAGGGCGAGTTGAGGCATTGTGTTTTCATGCAAGTATAAGAAACCATCCGCTTTGTAGTATCAAAGCAGACTGCGTCCTAGAAAATGCAAACTGTCCTAATCTGAGCCATTTCAAAGTGGGGGGAAATAGACACGCTCCAAAACAATGACAAATATTTCAAGAAGGTCATGGGACTCGAAAAGCAATTAAACAAATGACAGGGAATTTTGCCATTGCCTTCATAGAGAAGTATAGAATTGATGTATATATGTATATATACAGCAAGAAAATTATAGTATTCTTAGTCTTGAAATGTTTAAATCCATTGCTATAACATTCCACTAGCATTGTGCAGGGGATTCACCCCTCTGAATTCTGTTGCATTTCACTACGTGAGAGAGGGAAAGCACATTAGAGATAGAAAATGAGTGAGGGAGAGAGAAAGTTGTATCCCTTATTATCAAACCATGTCACATTCCTCCCAATGCCTGGCTGTGCAGCTCTGGCCGGTCAGTAATCCCTCTTCCAAGTTCCCCATGCATCTCATTCAGGCTGCTTATAAGTTGTTAAAGAAACTGTTTTCAATCACCACTAATAACTACTGACCTCGAGTGACACAGAGCCACAATAGGCTTCCGAAGCCTGTGTAGCCCAACCAAAGAAGCTGATTAGTTCTTCAAGAGGTCTAAAGCAAGAATCAATGGCTGGTCTGTCTCTAGCTGCCAGTCTCAGCATCGCTGCCATTATGGCTGTATGCCATTAGTTATGCCTCATTAATTTCAGCAAACACCACTCCAGAGAAAATCATAATCTGTAAAAAAAAAAGGTGCCTTTGTACAGCTTGTCACTGAGGCTGTATCCTTTACATTGTAAAGCATAACATATGAATCAATAGTCAGATTTGTTTTTTTTTTTAATGTAAAAGTTTATTGAAACGAGCAAACAACGATTTTTGTTTAATCAAAAAATATGTGTACATGAGTTTTTTTCTTGAGTATTATATTTGATACATCAGGCTACATGGAGCTCATACTCAAAGAGGAAAAAAATTCCTCAGTTTTATTCAGCGGCCCAAAATGAGCAAAAACATGCAATTTAGAGCAAATGCTGTTATTTATTTGACCAAAAAGTAAGATGAAATGATGATAGCTTGTAATGAAAATAGAAATATCAGTCACTTTATATCTCCCAATAATATGTCTTAGTTAGATGATATTTAAATGCTTAGTTTTATTATTAAAGCAGTTTACAAATGCATAATGTAATGTCAGTCTCAGCATCGCTGCCATTATGGCTGTATGCCATTAGTTATGCCTCATTAATTTCAGCAAACACCACTCCAGAGAAAATTGTTTACCTTTAGACATCTAATATGTGTGATATTATAGACCTTATTGGAATTGGATGGTCTAAAGATTTGGACAGAAGGCCCAAACTGGGCACCAGAAAGGTAAAGATCACCACACTCTAAAAAATGCTGGGTTAAATACAACCCAGTGCTGGGTAAAATAGGGACAAACCCAGCAATTGAGCTGTTTTGACCCAGCGGTTGGGTTAAATGTTTAATCCAACCTTCTGGGTAGTAACCCAACCGCTGGGTCAAAACAACCCAATTGCATTTTTTTAGAGTGCACGGACCACAAAGGTGTTTGAAGTAAATGCGATTTAAGGATAAAAGGCCACAAAAATGTATTTGGATATTACCAGATTTTTTTTTTTAAAGATGGCTTTTAGTTTAGCA